ATTAACAAATGGTGTTAAACATATTTCCATCATCAGCAGTAACTAACGTCGATTCAATTATTGATCAGTTAATGAGCCTAATGAACGATCACAAAAGTTTGATCAACATTGAGATTGTACAGGGTGTTGATAAATGAACTTTAGACGTTTCTTTTTTTCTGGTTCATACAAATAGAACTTTTTAATCTTATATTTTATTAATCCCAAGTGTAGATTGATTCATTATAAGTTGCTTTGATTCTGTATCAAACATAGGCGATTCTAGGGGCTAACAACCAAATCTTGAAAAGTTTATTTATAGATAAAAACAGTCGTTCATGAAAAGTTTTATGTAATATTTTTTCGTTTTTTTTTGGTGTAATTTAGTTTTTTTTTGTTTGCTCTCCGTTTTTTATTGAAATTCATTGAAATTTACACCAAATCATGGACGAACAGATTGTCTCTGTACATCCAGTGCTCGTTGCATGTCACTAATGAGTAGTTCAGAATGCTAATGAGGCTATTCGAAGATTTTCGAAGTTTTATCAAAATCGATTTATTAACACCCTGTATAATGATTATAATGATTACTGTGTTGATGAACAAGTCGACCTTTATTAAAGAGTTAAAGTCATTATAAGGGCGCTGGGCATTAGGGTAATATGATGATAATGTGATGATGATGATCGTGAAGAAGACCTGATAAAAGTAGATTTTTGCTTTGCTAAATAATCGATAAGTAATGTTGATAGATCAGCAGAACAGTTAAGCTTCATCAATTTAATCAACCCTAAGACTGAATCGTTTCCTTTTCCTTCATCATCCTTTCCTGACTTTACTTAATCAAATTGTCTCTCTCTCTCAACATTCACATTTATCATCTGCAAATCTTCAACCTAGCCAACCATCATCATCAAACGTTACCATTTGTACATTATATTAATACAAAAGGCAAATGATAAGTTAAAGTGAAAGGGTCTTAAAGTCCATGTATTAAAACAGGAAGAGCAAGAAAAATGTCCAACAATGAAAACATCTTTTCACTCTTTTCTTATCATCCAATTTTGCATCTCTCATCCTTTTTCCTCCTCCTCATGATTACTTACCTTCACTTTTATCAAAAATCAAGATGAAGTTAACCAAAAATATAAACCATTAATACCAACCAATATCAATATCACAATAATGGAAATGATGGAAATGTAAATTTTCCTGATAAAAGCACACGAACCACTTTACGACCCAACTTGGGTAACTATCTCTGAATGTAAAATGTCTTATGACCTGACCAAATTGACATCAACCGAGCATCAAAAATTTCATTAAATTTAACAATCAAAAGATGCAAAATTATTTCACGTAAAGGCCTTTATTGTGTGCTTCTCTTGACCTGACTTGGTTGACTCTGTTAGGTTGCAAATGACTTGTCATTGGACTTGGAAAATGATGAAAATCTTTTTCTCTTTTTCTTGTCATTCAACTTTTCCTTTCATCTTTTCTCTCTCCATCTTACTTTATCATCATTATTCATCTTTCCTTTCATCCAAAGATGCTGAAAAAAAACAAAATAATGAACTCACACAAACCAATTCTCATGATCATCTTGTAATAATGGAAACTGTGAAAATAAAAGATGATGATGAGTCCATCAATCCTTTCATCCTTCGTGGTTGGTAATCATCATTATCTTAACCTTACCCAGAACAATATCAATACTGTAAACATGGTAAAACCTGTAAACCCTTTACAAATAAACGTTAACAATATCAATATTGACAACTTTGGTTGAGAAGTTGATTAAATGAAGAAACTCTTGATTGATAATTGTTGAATGAATAAAAAAACAAAGTTACAATTTTCAATTACATTGAACCGTTTCAACTGGTCTCAACGCTCAAGGTGCATTAACCGACATTAATCAGTTGTGTGATGGTGTGATAATGTGATGAACCCATCATGATGAGGAAGACAAAAGTGAAATTATCATGATTCATTGAAATAAACAATTCATCTTCGTCTGTTAATCAGCAGGAAAAGTGTAAGAAAAGGACAATCTTCGAACCCAGAAAAAACCTCTTAATTGGCATATTCAACTTGAAATATGCAAAGTGATTAACCTGATCAGTTCCTACACTTGAATACCTGTTTTCAGGGGAAACACTTTCAATCCATTTTTCAGTCTCATTGTTCATCTGATTGTTTCAATTGATCTCTCATGATAGATTAAACTTACATGGGTTTGCCTTGAGCTTAACCCATAAGGTTTGTTTCCGTCAGTTGCAAGTATCAATCAATATCACCATGAAAATGCACCAAATTAAACACTTTTTATCGTTCAACCTTGACAATCAAATGGTTTTCAATTAATCATGATTTATCCCTTGTTTTACCCTGCAATGTTCAACATTTAACGGGCTTGTTAGTTGTAATTAAAAAAAGTAACTTTTCTTTTTTTCACTTCAATTTAACTCTTTAAGTATTTTCGTGCTTATTATATGTGTTAACATAATTGATGAGGTTTCAGAATCGGGTTTTCCTTTGATAATAATAGGAATCAAAATTGAATCTTTTTTTCAATTTCATTCAACCAATTTAATCTTTAAATGAATGCTGCTTTTTTGTGGTTTAAAAGGTAATTTATGAAAACTGAAATTGCATCCAATTCAATGTTATTAATGGCTATTAGGTTTAAGGAAAAAGGTTAATTGTTTTCGTTTTTTTCTTGCTACCTTTGCGGTTTAATAAGCAACAGTAAATATTTTGATTGAAACTACATCAAGGATAAGTTTATTTAAGTTTGGTTTTTTTTGCATCAAATTCATTCGAATGATTACCATCTGATTTATGGCATTTCAGGTGAGCTATAAACAGCTTCGAAGCATTATTCGACTTCTAAAGATTGATTTGTCAGTTGTGCTGAGATTACATTTCAAGTTGAATAATGCTTTTGCTCATTCGCATTCTATTATACACAATGCATAGTCAGAATCGCTAGCTTATTGAACATTACAGCTGTTTTAGATTAATTTGGTGTCACAATAATTATGCGAAATAAGCCGATGACTGATTAATCTTGAGTAAGTAAACTGAGAGAACCTTTGAGCGGGAAAAGAGTGCCAAAAATATGACCTCAAATCGGCATATAAATGTGTGATAGTGATTTGTTAGGATTAAATAAACTTCTTTATTAACTGAATTCAATTGAAACTGAAGCAATAAACTCGGGTCACTTTGTTGCAAAATAACTCGATAATGAGCATTAAACAGTCGTCAGTTAGATCGGTGCTTTACAAATATCAAAAAATTGAACACATAAAGTATGACATTGATTATTATGCATTTGGTGAAACATGAATATTAGTCCAAATAAGCGTAAAATAATATCCACACCTTGATGTGACTATTATGAGTAAAATATTTATTACAGTTAAATCAATTTTAATGATTCGTAGATGATAAAACAATTGATCGCAACTGTATTGTTGCAAAATAACATAATCAAGATGTTTTAGCATCCATGAGATAATAAGAATCTTATTATAAGATACAGCATTTGAACTTTGAAAACTTAGAATCTAAGCTGAAGGGTCGTTAATGAAAAATGACACTAAATTCAAATGGCACGGTTTTTGGACAAGAATGTTGGAAAAATAAAAGGTTGCCTTTTCTGATTGATTCAATACCAAAATTAGACTTAATTTCGTGACATAAGTATGCTGAATAAGGCCAAAAAAGCTCTCAAAAGAGTAATTTCAAAATGGGGCAAAATCATCGAAAAAAGTAGCTAGTCGTTTAGCCCTTAATCCAATGGAAAGTGTTTCATCAAAAATTTTGAAAACTCTTAAAAATAGCGTAAGCAATGTTTAATAAAGATTGCAAGTTCTATTTATCTTCTAAACAATCAGTTTCTCTGAAAAGACTCAATTCATTTTCATTGCGAGACTTTATTACGGACCCCTTGTCTCTGAAAAAAAATGGATGAAATCATGGGAAAAGTAGCTAGCCGTTCTGGACTTAATGAAAGTTGTTCGCACAAAATTTTTGAAAACTTATAAAAAACTCTATGCAATGTCTTATAAAGATCGCGTGTCCAATTTATCGATTTAATAATCAATTTTCCTAAAAAAATTTATTTCTTAGGGAAAGCTTATCTAACTCAACTAGACAAACTGAAGAAACCTAGATTGAAGGTTAGCCTAAATCAGATTTGATTAATTGAATCAACTTCAAAACTTTACTTGCATTTATATCCATTCAAAATAAAGTCAAGTTAAACTTTAATGTTGAAGTAAATTTTCAAAGATTTTGGATAAAACTTTGAATGAATATTATTTCTTGACGAGTCTGAACAAAAGTAGGCTTCAACTGTTACAGAGTTGTCATGTTATTGCAAGTCAATTCAATTTGATTTGCTCTTCTTTAGGCCATTCAAATACACTTAATCAGAGTAATGTAATTGGCTAAACATGGTTATACAGTTTGATCAGGAAAACATTTCAAGTTGAACATTCTGATGTTGGGTGTATTCAATGGTTGATACATTGTGTTGTTACAAGCAGCATAATTAACGTTG